TAAAGGAGGCAACGTCCCAACGTTTCAGGAGACACGACAACCTTAGAGGAACTTGTCGAGTATAAATTCCACCCAAATAAGTTCGAAGTTTTTCGTCAGCTCGAAACAATAGCTCCGACAGGCCATCTGTGCAAACGCATTGAGTATTTCATTAAAAGCGTTACAAAAGCCAAACTTAAACAGGTGGAAAATTATAAGACGTTAATGTTGTACGGTCTCATCATGCTAATCATGCTAGCACAGTCTGCCAAAATGTGTAGCTTGGATCCATGTGACTATCCACGACATATCGATCCCCCGCCAAAATCAAATAACCGCGAGGAAAGTAGTAATAATAATAAATGGTCCACAACAAAAACGGTCGAATTGAGCTCTATAGACATAGACGACACATTACCTATTTCGAATCGTCAAAGCCAGAAATCTTCATGCATTGTGACCAGAGGGTAGATGATGCCCCATCCCACATTTTAGTGATCCGACGGACGCTTGAAGCTAAAAAACGCAGCAAGAGGAAGAACAAAAGCATAAACGACTAACTCTTACAATTTGTTGACCTCATATGCCGCACGATGGGCGGCTATGGCACCGGCTGAGCTAAAGCAACAGAGCTATTGCGAAAAAAACTAATGCGTTCGTTGAACAGGTAAAGCGAGCCAGATCTGGCGTAAACAATACTACTGCAGATAGGATATGGAGCGTTAGAAAAGGTGTCGTTGCGTCCAGGAGGGTGATTCCAGATCGATTGAGCTCATTGATCCTGTTTCAAGTTCTACATACGAACAAAAACTCATATTAACGACATCGTTTACAGATATTCATAAGAGGTTTCGTCGATAATATATATAATATTTTTTTTTTTATTTTCATGACTGCTCATCGATGCTGTTCCTTGTTGTCCGTATACTAGTATGAAAACTAATGACAATTGAAATCTAACTAACAAGATTTAAAAAAAAAAAACTGCTGCAAAATAATAAAGGACGCTTTGACTGGAAAGCGTCCCTACTTTTAACTTGCGTCCCATCACAGCCGTACAAAGTTCTCATTGATAAGTACACTGTCTAAATATATTCCATAGTGGTTTGCAATCCTCTGTGTTAGCTCCGGCGACATTAAACTGGTAACCGCGCGGCTAATTTCTTCCTACATTTTTGCGTTAAAGGGGAAGCGCAATTCTAGGGATAAAAACTATAAATAAACTACGATAGTACCTTCTACTCGCCGCCCTTTCCTGTAACATCCCCAGTAAACGGTTCTCGTTGATCGTGCCTAATCAATTGAAGCGACATCGATGCGTACCCCGACTTCAACACGAGTCAGCTTATATATTAGCGGGTTTTACATATTAAGCTGTAAAAATAGAACGGGCGCACTCTCCTTATAATAGGTGACAGAGAAAAGCAATACTTAGTTGTTATCCGTTGACTTCTCGTTCAAATAGGTTAAGACGCTAGGACTCAATCGCTACCCTTAGCACAACGGCCACGCTTACCAACAAAACTACCTGGCTCTGGCCTATTGCGCACGCAACCTCTCTTTGCAACAAAAGCACTATGGGTGTTGTGTACGCAGACGGAGGCAAAACCTTCCTGCACTTGGCACGCTAACTTCCTTAACTACCATATATGTTAGCTTCGCTACGAAAACTGCCAGACTGTGACATTCTTTCTCGACAAAAATGCAAAGAAAAATTGAACGGGCAAAAAAAACGTGGCAATCACAAACAGTGTTTCGATGAACCTCTATTCGCGTCGTTAGCAGGCGTGTGCGCACGTTTAACCCTACCAGGCAGAAGCAGTTAAGAAGCCTTTCAGGCAGTCCTCAACGCGACACTATAGGTGACTACGAAGACCAGCTAAACACGAGACTGGCTAACAGATCAATTAGAAAAACTTCACTCAGTTACCATCGACATGCTTCAGCGACTGTTTGCGCCTTCGTTTTGTAGTAGATAGTTGAACTGATTACTATACTCATCACCACCGCGAACATCAGCGTCACCTCATTGTAAGTACGGCAGAGCAGCTAGTTACGGCTAGGAACGTCAGCGCCAATGCTGCGTTTCGAAATAATACGTTACATTACGTTCAAATCTTCACCCGCTAAGCTTCGACCACGGCCACTGCGACCATTGTAACTTTAACTGGCAGCATTGTTATTACTTCTATTTTATATCTGCGATTGCCACTCGCTGCACCTGCTTCGTCTATAGAAGGGGCATGATCGAAATCAGCTAGTCACTTGAGGTGAAACGGCAGGAAGGCGTAGTAGGAATCTATGCAGCACCAGCACCTAACAGAAGAACAGAATGAGTGGGTAGAAGAGGTCTTTTTTGCTAAAGTAGACCCTACTGCGTATTTGACGTCAGTCAACTGTTATATGTCCAAGCTCTGGCCATGTGCATGGAGGGACCGACCGACAGACTTGTAGATCCTCAGGACAGACGCTAGCGTTCAACAAGTGACCGTCGGCGACAAGCGAATGACGATCGACCCGTCGCTTCTGTTCTGCTATCAAACAAGTTAGAGCACTATTTTTTCTCATGACGACCATCTTATGACAGCGTTGCAGATGGCAGTGTCAGTGCCATCTGTTGAGTTCCTCACAGGTGCCGATTTGATAAGGCTGGCCCGCGCGTACGAGGCGCGGCTGCATGTTACTGACGCCAGTCAGTAGTAATTTAAGCAGAGGCTTACCTTACATCGTCATAGGAAGTGGCAGAAGGTGGACTTGCATAAATTTGCCACAAAGCTGCTTTGCGTCCAGAAAAATGAGCGAACCACAGAGATGGTAACGATACTTTTGTTTTGATTTCAGACCCTCTCTATAATAATCAGCTGTAAATGGAACTGCGGATGAATGAATTCAAAATAGATACGGGATTCAGGAAATCTTGTCTTTGTGATTTTATGTGGGGCGGAAGTTTGTTGTATCCAAAAAATGCCTAAATATTGCAGCTTCGCTTGGCAAATTATAGTAACAAAAGGAGCAAACGTCCACGATTTATTAAATGGTCTGTTGATTTGGTTGATTTATTAACACGCTGTTGTATAATCAGAGGGTTTTCTGTCGCATACCGACAAGGAGATTGTAATAAATCGAACGCAGGCCATAAATACTCAGACGTAACCCCTCAGATCTAGCGGCCTTAATATCGCGCCAACTGTACGGCAATGTTAACTGCCAAAAGCAGAAACCGAATTAGTTATTAACGCAGGATGTGTACTTTATTTGTAAAAAGATGTCCCAGATAGTTTTAATGTAACGTTTCGAAGCCGGAAAAGGCTCTGAGGAGACGTAAACGAACAAAACGTGACAGATGATGCGCGGCAGGCTACACGTAATAAAGACTAGTGAGAAATATATACCCAAGAGCTCTGGACAGAGGCTTTCAACGTAATAGTATATGGCAAGCAGGATGTGACCAATCTCGACCATAAATATTAAATAGTTTTCTAGCGCCATCTTCTTGTGATGTACACTATTAAGGCTCGCTTCGATGGGAAATGTGCGCTAAGGTTTGGGTATACCCGAAACATTTTGCCATTTAACTGACGACGCATTGCGTTAGGGTATCAGCTCTCCGATAATTGGTGATCGCTTGAGCTGGTACGGTTGGAATCTGACTCTCGTCTGACTTTTGTAGTTTTATTTTTTAATTAAAAATTTTGTTAGTTTTTTGGGTTTTTTTTTTTTGGTTTTTAAATGTCAGAGTCAACTTCTTAAAGTTGGAGATAACTCGGTTGCAAATTGGCACTTACGCTTGTGTACGAATGTACGTATGTATAACACGTGTGTTCTTCTTGGCCTGATTAATAAGAATCAGTGCTGTCCGTGTTCTACGTCCCATACCGACGTCGTGTAGTCCATTACACGGCTAACTTGCGGCATAGAATAAAATGTGTCTTCGCCCGGACTCGAACCCAGACTACCACATGTTTCCCAAGTTCAGCAGGCAAACACGCTCCCCATTATGCTACCATTTTCCCAATATTGTCTTCCTCTAGTCGATTATGCCATTGTTCCGGTAAAGACGTAGATGCAGCAGATATAGTGCGCGGGCCTGAAATTGATAGAAGTGCTATATGTGAGACGTTTCCGCGCGATCAAGTTAATTTTTCGTCAAATCTAGGTACAGATACACGTCCCAAATCCTTTGGATACTACGAAATACACATAGAATTGGTGTCATATGTATTTTCGAGAAGCTGGCTAAAATGAGAGCAAACGCACACACAGATGGAACCTTTAGAGCGAAAGCTATTCCCAATTAGCTCTAAAGTATTTTTTAAAGCGTCTTGATGCTTCCCACGACTGAGCGACATGTCGTGTTCTGAAAAATGTGCGTTATAAGCATTTGAAGCATTGGTTGGACAGGCAGAAAACGTAGGCGACATTATGGCTTGACATGCCAAATGGGCTAATTCAATGAGCTTGAGCTACAAAAACCAATGTGTATATAGTTTGAGTTATTTATTCAACCTATCAATGCCCTCCTTCCGATTGGCCCACAATATCAGCTGACAAATTCAATTATAACGAAAAGAAAAGCCAGCCAGATTACGTGTATGCAGCGATCGCGTTATTACGCGCACCTTAGTACCTCAAGCTTGTAGCAAAAGGCCACCTACAAATAAGAGATTTCAGGCTCAGATATGTTTTTCAGTTCCCCGAGCCGGCAAACAACATGAAAAGTACTAGCTAATCATAATAATAACAACAATAATGCTTAAAAAGGCGAAAAGACCTCTTATCGAATCCTACTTGCACCACTTTTGTTAGACGTAGAAGCGGTAGCAGCTAACAAAATATCCTCGATAACGACGGCATCAGAGCCGTTACGTAAACAACGTAACCGTTCGAGCGCGATGTGTATCGTTAAATGAAAAAGACTATTTCGACATTCCAATATTCCATTCGCGTCTGCTGCTGCTGTGGCCGTCGCCGCCGCCGCCGCCGCCGCCACCGCCACCGTAAATAGGCATCGCGCTGCCAGTTCTGCCGACAACGTTGCGCGGCTGCCAGGGATTAACTACCCCGAAAATGGCGGATGGTTTATCATGACTACGGACATTGTCCTAGCTTACGCTTGCGCCGTAACGCTGGGTCGACCCAGACGGCAAGTCGGAGACGGCAAGCAACCGCAAGAGAATTTAATCTTTGATAGGACCGGTCTTTTCTGGCCAGTCGTATAATTTCCCCTTCCTGGAGCGTCCCTCCCTGCATTGACAGTGTTATTCTGTCGACTGCCGACGCCATCAAAGGCAGACGCGGCGGGAGCAGCGCCCGATAATCATTACTTCGTTACGATGAGACGCGCGATGCGCCAAGCTCGCGGATCGTTATTGTTTTGGAGACACGGTATTAGTTAATCGACAGGTTTCATAACCTAACTACCGTCAAGGCAGAGACTACAGCTGCGGCAGATCTGAGCGTAGCTGCCATATGGAGCAAGGCAGAAACCGATAAGGATACATAGGGAATGAAAAGCAAGGCTTTACATAGCTGTATATAGGTATAGCTGTCGTATCTGTGCTGATAACTGTTTCAATTTTGACCTTTTCATTCATAACGGTTTATGCAATTTGCCTTATTTTGGTTGACTTCGGTTACGTACAACGTAGAAACAGAAATCAACTGGTCAGCGAAGGAACCAAGCAACCTATATAGATATGAAGAATCGGAAGAGAACATGATATACTGTTTAATAATATGGAAATTGTAATACATGTTTATACAAAGCAAAGACTGTAGTCCACGTACTCGCACAAACATCATACGCAGCCTGGAAATAGCGCTCAAGAGTATTTCTGTTTTGCCCGCGAATCTTAGGTATAGGTCAATACTGATTCCTTTCGACATTAGGTTGACAGTCTGGCGAAGCATCCATGATGCAACCGGTCGTTGAAAGGCTAAATCTTTGTTCGACAAGAATGGAATCGGCTCAATTTTAGCAGACTCAACACAGCTTTGAAGAAATTAAGTTTCCTGAAGGACAGTCTAGGGAGAAACAGCGCATTTCAGGATAGCCGGATATTGGACCTTTGTCTACTGCTGAATCCTCTGGGATCTATCCAGTGTACAATAAATATCTTCGTTAATTTGCCCAGCTATATCTCAGAAAAGCATTGCTAATTCTGACTCACGAAATTAGGAGACAAATATAGTTTACTTCATCCTCCAAGAGCGTCCAATCGAACATCCCGATGGGTGTTCGATTGGACGCTCTTCAAGGTACCTATATTGACGGATCAAGCTTTTAGGATTTCAGCTATGATTGAACCGAATGAATATCTATGATTAAAATGACTTGTTTATGATTAAACAATGTTTATCACTTGAGGCTTGGACGTTTATACAGCATCGTTCTTCAATGTTTTCATTAGCAATTGGTACATAGAATAGCTACTGAAATGGCTCAGATCCTTCTAGCTTTCATTCATCCCTGTTCTATTTTCTGCGTTCCCTCTATTGCCATTAAGCCGGCTTATTTATTTCGATCCACGCTCGTGTCGGAGCATCTTCATACGTTCCACTATCGTCCGTTTAGCCTTGCGTTACATTCGCCTTTGATCGTTTTCGAGTCTAGACAATGATGACGTGTTTGGCTCGAATGCTCCGTCCCAACTTGCATGTCTTCCACTTTCATTTGAGATAACTGTTATAGGCCCGTTATCACCCACGCGGTGTGGTACGTAGCGGTGAGCGCTCTTTTATTGATCTCCTTTTTTTGCGTTTCATTACGCGTCGTCGAGAGGTAACGGAATCGCTGGTTGATAACGGCAATCGAAACCCCAGCCAAATATGAGCGAGCCGAATCTTTATAAATGTAAACGATGGGCCACTATGAATAAACAGGCTGAAGAGACGATCTACATGCCTCTGAAGGGTGCGCCGTCTAAACAGATTGAGCTGCGGACTGATACCCGACAAACTGAATAGATTTACTCTCTGTTTGTATATGTTTGTAAGGATCGACGTAAGTAACGTGAGCAATAATATTGATGTTATCCGTGCGCTCGTCTGCGTGATCATTTGTTACGAGGTCAATGTGACGCCTTTGAAAGCGAAGAGACGCATAAAAAACGGCATCGAACGCGAGCAGCAAGTCGTGAGGTACTGTGTAATGATTTTGAAGCTGACGATAAAATTGTATCTGATATATAGACGATCGTGTGCTATCGTTATCTTATGGTGATGATCGTGTCATGATTATTTTCACTGGACTTTCAAACTGACCCATAAAACGATTTAATGCAAATGATCGTCTTACGCAATTGTCGATTACATCATCAATCGATATCGGGCCGATCCAGCCAACTCATTGTTGTAACCGTTTTGTCTCATCTGAATACGGCAAAGCAAGAACTTTTTTTTTAAAAGAAATTAGTAGCTTTCGCTAGCGGCACAACACGAACGCTATTGCTTTGAATGCACATCATCATTAGTTATTCCGACAAACACATGGGTACAGTAGACTTGTGCCAAAGCTATATCATGAGTGACAAACTAAGTGCCTTTCCTTTTTCCCATTTCCGCAACTATCTGCAGGTGCTCGCTTTCTGACGCTGTGGCACCCTTCAACCGATCGGGGATGCCCCACGGCTTCGAACCCGAAGGACTGAACCATGTGGCCCCCCTGAACGAGTCGCTTGCTCCATCATCTCATTTCGTTAAGCAGCCGTCTCACCATCAATTACTATTTCACAGCCCTAGCAACAAGCCGAGCGGCAGTTCCCCACTTGTTCCCCAACAGCCCCTTATCTTCGTGACAGGCCAGCAGCAGCTACGATCACAACTGCAGGATCACCTTTCGTACTCAACAATTTCCCCGCCAGCTCCTGCCGTTTCTGCAGTATTAGCAGAATCGGCTACCGCTGGTGCAATTGTTGGCTCACAATATCGTTCACCATCGAGACTATTCCTATCTCACTCTCAATTAGCGCCCGTTCTCCAGTCAGCAAGCGGGGCTATGTCGTTATCCACAAGTTCGTTGGGGGGCGGCCTCCCACCGAATCACCCCGGCTACAAATCGCATTCGCTTCTGCCGAACGGTCATCACCCCTCGCAGATGGGTGCCGTTGGCACGGTTACGACAATGTCGTCAATCGGCGGCCTATCCGGGGGCGGTCTCCAAGGAGTTGGACCCAGCGGACTAGGTATGGGGGGTATCGGTAGCGGAGGCGTGGTCCACCAGCATCCGTCACTACCACCCCATTCCGTGTCGCGTTTATCACACAGCTTCATGACGACGTTTCCCGCCACCCATCACCAAAATCACACCCGCCAATCTAGTCTGCTATTGAATACCGACCAGAACACAACGACGCAGAAGGACCTCTCGACGACGGCTCCAACCTCTGCGACGGGTCTGACCGGGGCCCACTCAGGTTCGCCAGGCGCGTCCGGTCATACAGGTGTCGGAGGCGCCTCACCTGGTGCTATCGCCATCAATTCATCATTGCTAACGTCTACGTATCACCACGCCTTGTCCCTGTTATGCATGCTATCTGTACTCATGTGCGTCTTGTCAGCCTCCGTGTTACGGCCATTGGAGTCAACGGACGTCACGACGGAGCGCGCACTTCGCGACGTACTCAGCGTCTGTTTGCTAGTGTTATCCATGTGCCTCGACCTTCACTGCCTATTCGTGTGCAGCCTGCAGCTGATGCTGGCGCTGAGGGAAGGTAGCAGCGCGTATTTGAAGCGTGCCTCGTGTAGTCGGAACCTCGCCGTGTGCTCATTTCTGCTGAGTGTCCCATTTTTCCTCACAGGTAAGCTGATTACGGCCACACCAGGACCAACGGGTCCGTCTGATCCTGAATTATCTCACTGACCATTGCTCCCGGATTAGTTTTTGTGTATACTAGTTGATAAACACTTAGATGTTTAAAATCACTTCAATTTTCATGCTTTCTTCTTGCACGCAAAAAGAACTTTTCATGTGACAAACATGTCTACGTACACTTGTAGGTACCGGTAACTATAACATACATAGTAATATTAGAATGTGATCAGATTCAAAGCACACAGATATACACATTAATCCAAAGACTATGCTTGAAGACAACGTCTCCTCTTCTTTGACGCAATTTCACGCTGTCCTAATATCTATCATTGTTGAAGGCCAATAGCCTGTTACTGCCAGCATATCATGCATCATTCTAAACCAAACCTTTCCTGTCAAAGATAATTGTTTTTTTGGTGCTTTATTCATTCATTCGCACGCCTGCCAGCCCGATCTTCCGTTTAGTTCTCTCTTGCTATCTCTATTGTAAACAATTTCATTGTTTGCTGCCATTGCCAACAAACACTCGTCGCCGTTGTCATTGCGAAGTACTGCCAGCCAGCGTTAACGTTCTACTATGTAGGAGGCTGACACGCGCACCCTAGCCATGCCAGCAGGGGGACAGATAGACAAGCTTGGCGAAGCGGCAGGAAACCTTCGACACCCCAGTGACCATTTCAAACCACGGAATCGCCACTGGTACCAGTGTCACTAAGTAGCGAGTATTTATCAAGATCTGGTGCCATCAGGGTCGTGGCAGTAGGCAGATGTTCGCGTGACATCGTTCGCTGTCACTACTCTGGCAATGGTTATGGTAGTCGTAGGAGTAAAGTGTGCATTAATAGTCCTTTATGAGTTAGCCGAAAAGACGGAAGGAAAGTTACAAGTAAGATATGAGCAGATCAGTGGGTGAGGCGCGGACTGGCGCCGAGCTGGAAGACAAGTGATTCGCGCTGGGGGTGATGACCCTACTCTTTCCGACGTCCAAAGTCAGCCAGCATTACCACAGCAGTCACAGCGACTTTTACTGCTGCCGCTGGCGATTTTATCCCTACTTCGTCTACAATTATCACAACTAATTCTTCACCGTTGCTTGGTATAAAGATAGATAGCAGAAGATCAATAAAAGATGCGATGTAAGTCCCTGCTGCTCATTTTAGTGGCTAGTTAGTTTGTGGTGACAAGGTCCAAGCACTACGGCCAATTCAGCCAGTGGCACATGTTGTCAGGACTCTTGCCAGTCACTTAGCTATAACCTGCTATTCGCGACAAATAGCGTGTAGCATCGACTGAATTCGACAAACGCGGCTTTGTCGTCATCGTCGTTGCCACTGTCGCTGGGCAGGCGGTTGTTGTCAGCTCGGAAAGCCCAACAAACACAAAACGGGCGGATAAGATGTATCTTCGCATCCATGACGTAGAGCCCTTCACGTCCGTCTGTTTATAGCCTTCGACCATGTTGTGCTGAGAACTTAATAGTAGCCTTATTACGCAATTACTGTTATTCGGTTTATATTTACCTCTCTTTGTAGTTAGTTTTTTTTTGCGGTGCCTTGCGATGGGAGCGCGGGCAACTTAGAGAACAAATATTGTTGAGTTTATCTGAGAAAAATGCTTTTTGTTTACAACTACAAATTACCGTACTCGTTTTGTTTGGCCATTTGTTCGTTTTGAATGAAAAGATTACGAATAAAAAGAACAATGTTGGAGCGTCGTTGTCAATACACGACGATAATGAGATTTAAGGCATTTTCAACGAGGGCAGGATGGAGGGGAAATACCATATTCGAATAGAGAACTGAAGCTGAACCCATTACGCATTTATAAAGGTGCATCCTATTTTTTTTTCAAAGCTGTTTGCTTATCTCCGCCTTGTCCTAAAAAAAAAAACTTACCATTGGTCCGTTAAACAATTTCCTGCTCGTTTTTGTCATTCCATTCCCTCTCAATTTTCCACCTTGCCAGCGTTATGTTTAATTGCTTCAACAGTGATTAATCACTAATCCGTCATGTTTTCGCTTGTTTTTGTTCCTTCTTTTGTAACTTTTGCTTCTCATTTACAGGTGTCATTCTACTTTTAGACATACCGTTGCCAGCATCACTGGCCATCATCGGTGTCGTCTTTCTTGTCTGCATTGCCTCATCCCTTCATAATGTTTACGTCTGGCACCTGGTAGTCCAAAGCGGTGAGGCCAGCAATAATGCGAAGGCCCTTAACGGCCATATCGTACAGCTGTCCACGCTGGTCTGATGAGAACCTACAGGCTACAAACAACGTACGCATTCGTCGCTCCAAAGGCAGCCTGAGCCAGCCGAACGGGCTCTATCCAAGCGTACTTCTTCGCCGTCATCATTCTGACATCGAAGTCGACAGCGGCGTGACTGTCTTCCAATGAGTGCTGCCATTTTTATCATATCACCGCACACGTACACATATACGCCAACAGATGCACACACATTCAAATTTTCAGAGCGCTCCGATGTCGAGACACATATAGATCTTACCATTTGGTTCCGTTGTGACACGCACTTCCCCGAGGCAGTTAGCGCGAAAATGCCAGTCGCTGCTGTGAAAGCTATGAAAGCAAATCACACCCAAAAAAGCGGGTCTTTCCAAACATCGGCTGCGCAGTCACGACTAGTTAGGGCAGTCGGGGGGGGATTGTGGTAGCGTACCTGTGACGACATGGCCTGCTCGTAGCCATCTGCTCTCTGTATAGCGAACATTTTGACTACAAAAAGTGTAGTAATAATAAGGGACCAAACAGATTTTCTCACCAACTACTCATTTAATGTCTATCAGGGCGACTACAGTGGCGGCTACGTAAAGACGTAGAGCGGTGGCAGCTCATTCGACTGAAGCGCAGACTATCTAAATTTGATAAGCATATACTACGGTATCATATCGCGGAGGATCAGACTGGAAATAGAGTTAGTGCTTATCGTTCTATATCAATCTACCTAAGATACGTAAGGTTTGCCTGAAGATCAATGATCTCATCGTCCGGTAGCAAAGCAACTTTCTTTAGACCTGTCAAACAATTTCGAACAAAGTTATGAAACGACGGAATTGCACCAACCTAAATCGCACAATATGGTTATCGAACCTGCAGTACCTGGAAGGGTAATTTGAGAAACGATCGTGATCTTTTTCAGCAGATAAAACGACGACTCGAGTATTTCGGCGTCATTTTTCCAGTGCGACATCGTCAGCAGACGTCTTGTCAACGGAATCCCTGCCAGTCTGATAACTTCCAGTCGCCGATTTTCGAGCTTCTTCCGTGTAGCAATGAATATGGGATGGGCACCAAAGGTCGCTGTTACCCTCGCTGGTCTGGAAGGGTTTGTCAAATCAGCGTTATAAAATTTGTAATCCACATCACTTAGAAACACGCGATTGCATCTGCTGTGTTTTGTACGTATGACGTATGCAACATGTTAAACAGTTGCCCCTCTCTGCCGAATCGTCAAGCCGGTCTGCGCAGACAACTCGGTGGCCAGTTCCAATAGATCGATAAGCGTAAAGAACAAAACAACAGGGGAAAACAACTCTACGCCACCGACAAAAGACGACACGATGCACGTAGCCCAGCAAAACGAAGCGGGATTAATGCTGTTTCTGTTCAAACTGAGAGAAAAAAACTGAGGTATACGGGTTTCGTTTTTCGAGAAGAACCCTATCCTCTCTGGTGGTACTTAGTGCTAAAAACAGGTAGAATAATAGAAGAAGCATAAGTGGGAACTCAATAGAAAGAAGCGGGATACTGATTGCTACCTAACCAGTTTGTCGAGTTTCGAAATTTCTCTATACTCTTGCTGTTTCAAATAGGAGGCAATGCAAGAACTTTTCAGTCCGTTCTTCACCCGTTAAACGCACTGCTCTCATCCCGGACGCTCTGTCTCTTACTCCTATTGGCCATCACCCACTTCCAGAAAACACTCGAACGGAAATCGGACGGTTTCCTCGAATCGACCATACCGCGAGGGTGCAGGGGACGAGGTCATTGACTCTACGAATACCTCGCTTGTGTGCGTACGCGAAGCAGCGGTCGAATCCAGAACCAACACGCGGTGGATATGGCCATCGAAATGATGTAGCATTAATCACATGCGGAACGCGGACGATATATATATATATATATATATCGGAACGAGAAATCCGAGGTGAAATGTGGACAGAGTATACATCCTTGTGTGTCAGCGTGATACAACGACAACAACTTGAGGCTGACCAGGTCACCACCGCCGTACACGTGGCATTTGTATGTTAAATAACCATATATTGATATCGATTATATATATCGATCTCAATATATAATTATTTTTTCGTCTGCTTAATCAGTCTATTCAATTTCACAAGCCGAAATTGTACATAATGCTATTTAAATAGTAACCCCGGGCAACTAAAGAGAAGACGTCTGCGTCCGTCGTGGCATACGGCAGGCAACCGTTGTAACTACTGATCATAGTTAATGTTACTACATAAACAGATGCGGGATGGAAACGAATCTATCGAAGATGTTGTACGATAGTGCGCGAGCCTGAGAAAAGGATTCTATTGGTGTTAGTATTATTGCCCATCGGTACTATATATAGGCGATTGCCAACGTGACCTACTAGGCATCTACTAATATGCTTGATAACCCACTAACTACCTACCCCACAAAGGTACACAGAGGTGACCACACGAACATATGCACCCGTATCAAAGCGAAAAGGCAAGAGAACAAGCAAACCTTGTATGCTATGACCAATTACAGATCTGCCAGCTTTCGAGTTGAGTTGTTGACAAATACGCACACATCTTTCAATCGCAAGCACATCTGCATACCACACAACTGTGCGTGAACCGGAAGGATAGGGAACCCACGTTATTAGTAGTATTGTTACTATGAGCATGAAATATTAATATAAAAAAACATTCGGTTTTTTATTTAGCTGTGTTTAACCTCTTGTGCGACAATTGACAGGCCACGAGTCGACGCTAACAAGGCTTGCCGCCGACTTACGTCACTTTTATCCTTTGAATATTTTCTAATTTTTCGTCACCAAATCTCCAAGCATGCCATAGCATAGACAAGCGTGAGTGAGTGGACAAGCTGCGAATCCCTGTAAAAACTGCGTGTGTGTCGTTGCTGAGTAAATATGGACGGATACATGAATTGGATCTGAACGCGATTCAAGATGATCGGGACCGCGAGAAAAAATGGCGATCTGAACAAAATACACATATAACAATGTATGTATATGCTGAAAAATAGGAACTACTGTTGTATCGGAAGAAATCATTGTCACGTGGGAAAAACGAGGACGGAACAATGCGAAATAGCTTTTAGCGAGATTACATGGACGTATCAGTGAGGGCACTCTAGAACCGATCTCGTCCCAGATTGTAAATTAACCCCATAATATTACTTCACGGGAACTATAAAGACAGTAGAACGGGTGACCAAGCGTGTGGCCACGAGTAAATATCGACCGCTTATCAGCCAATAGTTTTCAGACCGGGTTAACATGGGCTTGTTTTGTTCCAATGAAACTTATAACTAATGTATCACTTAGCATCGTCAGAAGGTCTGGCATGGGTCTATGACAATTGAAACAATATTATTTAATTGTAAAAAAAAAGATATTCTTTAATTACGTGGGTCTTCTATGAGCTCTGAATTGAATATTAGTCTGGAATAAAATAGTGTTGAAAAAGTGAAATATGGTTCACTTATTCCATATGTATATATATATATATATATATATATACGTTAAACTTTAGATCTCGAGCAGCCTTCAAATGTAGTCTATTCAAATGCTGGTCAGGTAAAGGTCCGCGGAAGCGAACTTAAAGTTCATATTAATCAAGGAAGCTACCGAAATGAACAACTTAGAAAAAAAATGTTTGTATTTTTTTAATTCCATGTCAAAGGCTTCTTTATGTGTTCTCACACTTGTTCTAGTTGCTACTGTTGTCGTCAACAGGGTCAGCCCATAATACCATGCTCATGTGTATGTTTCCATCTTAATTTCGTACATTTATACAGATAGGTCGGACATTCAAGTTCTCTGCAACCCCCCTATCTCGTCTCCTTCCTCAATGCCGTTTCCATCGGCATGCACGGGCAAATGCACCGTGTAAAAAAAAAAAAGTTAAAAAAAAAAGATACTGATTCGGCTGCTGCCACGAGCGCCGACATTTTTTCAGCCCGGACAGAGTGCCATAATCGAAGAACGGGTTTATACGGCAACGCACAGGTGGTAGCGGCAACATTGCCATAGAGAAATATGATAATTCTTGCGCAGACTAGTGGATGGGTAGGAGAACAACAGCAATACAAAGAACACAAACCATGCTGATAATCAGTCCGCTACACGTATTTTTGCCGGTGATGGTGCTGCTAATGCTTGTCCGTTCAGCAGTGAACTTCATTTTGGATTTCAGATGCCTTTGGGCGTGATTTTCTACGAAAATGTTCTATAAATATCCATAGAGAAGCTGTAGGGACTGGGTTGGAACCTGTTTCGACGAAACTGTCTTCTCCCGACAAAATGACAATCTAAAATTTGCGCGATATCCAATGCAAGGGGTCCAATTGTAAGAAAACACAATGTCTATAGAGCATAACAAACACGTCGGCCGAAGTCAGAGGCCCAGACCGACACGGAAAGTTAATATAAAAAATCATCATGTCACATTGTGATGATGTATTAAGATAATATCAGTGAAATTCTAAACTCATGTAGATTCAGATCGACGAAGTAGGTCAGATCGGGTGGATAATTTCCATGTATCCTGGTAACGTTCGCTCATCTGCATGTCTGGCAGTGAGATCCGCTCTTGATCCAAGTACGTCTATTTAGCGACTACTAGACGCCATCCGACGGCAGGAAATGAAACCAATGTAATAGTTATTGTAATAAAACGACACGTATCTATGACGTCGGCAGATGGTCAAATATTCTTCTTGGCCCGAATGCTGAAAATTGACATTATGCTTATAAATTTAATTTTATATAGATATATATGGTACCTAACAAAATACTAGGCGCCCATATACAGTAGGAAAAAATACACCTTAGAAGTAAGAAGGTTGCTCTAAGGAACTTAGCTGATTTCTAGATTGTGTGTGACGGCAACTGCAGCTTCCTTAGAAATCCAACAGGGTCCACACGGTGTTATTTTAATGAAAAGAGGCCTTGTTTAAAATCCGTTTCCTCCAAAGATTGAACTAGTAAACAATCATTTATACAGACCTGCCAATATTGGCCAATCGTTAGTGACAGCAAGCTCTAGCACAAACAATCTTCTAGGCGAAGCAAACAATTTAACCTATTACTTTCGCTTTACGGAGCCCCATAGCAACTATGGCTTGTTTACTTATGTCGTCTGGGCGCCGCCCTATACATGCAGATCTATTGATCAGTGAGCGAAAAACACATAATGAAAGAATACAAACCGGATCTATTTGTGATTATAGCTAATGCCGAGTGGAAGTCGCTGGAAGAAAGGTCATTGTATCCGCGGGGAGCAGAAATACTGGAAAGATCTGCATTACTGCCAGCTATACTTCGTATCTGAGACACGGGATTCGCAGGATGAGTTGATCTGTGATCGAAGAAATGAATCGTAAACAATAAGAGTAGGGCCAGAATGAGTGTGGACTGCGATCGCGCACTTGCTGTTGCCAAAGGTGTTGATAAGGAGGTCAGAAAGCGAATAGAGACATGTAAGCACGCTTGCGTTGAAGCAAGCTGATTTAGCAGAAATAACCCCGCTGCGTCTTTATACGTCCTGACCGCTGATCGGAGACCTACTTTCGTAGCCGCATGTTATTACTGCAGACGAAGCTTGTTCCGGCTAATCATCGTCGATGTAACGGCCGTAGTTGTATGGCTCTGCCTAACAATATTGTAGTTTATTTTTGACATTCAGAGCACTTTTTTTAAGAGTAATCCATTTCAAGTTATTGTCATGCCAAACTGCCTGAGCATAAGTAAATCACTCATCACGGATATGCGGAAAAATGCAGAGAAACCAGCCTGTCGTGTAAGCAATCACGACGAACAATGAAATCGATTTTTACATGTTCTGATGCAACCTTTACTTCATAGCTATGCGCACCGTTCCATATCCTCCAGTAATTTAAAATTCGATAGATCGTGTTATCAAGCCGGAACTTCAGTCATTAAATTTTTTGACAAGACATATATTTTATTTGTAGTTATTTACTACAAATGTCTACAACGTCGCCCTTATATCGACTTTGTGGCTCGTGCAGTATAAAAAAAGCCGCAGTTTTATCAATAGTTGCTATTATCCACCTGTTTTTCTCTCTATATGTACCTTCATAGGGCTCAATTCGTATGAGGTTGTACCTATCGATGTACTTGCTCACAGATTCAGCAATGGCCTAATTTGGACTCCATCCTGCTCTGATATCTCAGTGTTGGCCAAGCATCTGGGATTTTATTTCATTGTATAAAACTCACAACGCTCGATATGCTTCCTGCGGTCCATTGAAGTCTTGCGGTAAGGTATACAGTTTACATTCAGATAACTTTGTCAATGGAAAGTATATGCACACTAAAGTCGTTAAATCTAGTAAGTGTCAGTGAAGGTGGTCTACGTAATGTATGCACGTACATATTAGGGTATTTCCGAGATAGTCCAATCAATAGCTGTTTGCCTTATGCTTACGTTTTAAGTACATATATTTGCGAAATATATTCTAAATTTCGGCTTCTTTAAATAGGCCATCTACAAGCCTACCCACGAGGAGCACACAACAACATGATATAGTCACAATTCGCTATTTTAGCCAATGTATATTTTTTTCTATAATAAGTACCTAATAAAAATTATGCAAGCATTTTGAGCACTTACTCCTTTATTACATTTACCCTATTCAGTAGTATTATTACTAAAAAGACGACTTTAATCACTCTGTACATAAGATTTACTCGATATTTTGACGTTTTTCTTGTTCCATAAGTATATTATCTAAGACAATGTTTTCTCAGCAAGAATCATTGCTTTATAAGTAGGTTTTTTTCTATTAGTTCGCGCAGGACTTCGTATATATATATATATATATATATATATATATATATATATATATATATACATATATATACATATATATATATATACAATAGTAGTGAGTCTAGTCCTGCTATCTCGCTTTCTACTATCTGCTGCTCGGCCTTCGTTTACGTCTGAGTGTTCCGATAAACCTGATTATCGCTATCATCGAGATTTTTTGAGCACGGCACTTAATTTAGCAACTGAAGGCGTCCGTTTTGCTCAGTTTGCCTGCTAAGAAGCTAGGAGGACGGAGACTAATTATAGCTTGATTATTACTCGACTACACTTTTCTCTATCAAAATCCTAAAGCTGCCTTTCAGGTTCTGCTCCTCCACAGGTGTCCTTTCGCCCCGGCGCCCCCTTCTCAGTTATTTTACAGTGGTGCACCTCGTTAACGTTATCGACCAGGTACAAATATAACTTGTTCATATGCTAAATGATTTATTATTTTCGCGTTTGAAGTTCCTTTTTGGTTTTTTTCGTCACTCATTCAGTATTAGGCTCATCGTTTTCAATGACAGATGCTGATAATATGATTTCCCTGTCACGTCTGGGTTGATTAACCGTTGAACTCGTCATTCACCCAAACCTTCAATTAAGCAAAAAGATAAACTATTGTCGTTATTATACACTAAGATTGATAAGTAACTACATCTATTACTTTTCACTTATTCAGATGACTACTTATCCTCAGAATTTACGTGACATTCTGTTTAATCCTATTGAGTTGTTGTTGTAGAAAATGTTTGAATTTACCTAAAATGGTATGCTAGGATCTAGTCAAGCAGCTAGGAACAGATCTATATAGCAAGTCATCGGCCTCGTAGCTAATTATATAATTTCTTGTTTTAATACATCGTGCTCTGAAATATTATAACTTTAGAAAGGAACTAGTGCTAAGAGGCCACTAAAGTGTGCTTAACTACTTACGTAAGTATCGGCAACTTCTTATGCATTATTTTTATAATATAGAAGAAAACGCGAGAGCGCTATGTATAAAAAAGTGTGAACATTTTAGGATGAATGTTAATTAGCGTAAGGAGTTAAGGACGGCATGAAAATGATTAGGGGAGAAGCAAAGCATTATTGATACCCCATTCTTCTCTTTGAAGAGGAGCCCCTAATAACAGCTCCATGAGTTAAAAGCGGTATAAAATTGTGATTTTGTAAACTGAAAGAAAAATTAAAAACGGCGAGATAACATTTACACTGCACGTTTGTTGCTGACAATTTTACACCTTCGGAATGACAAAGGAAAAAGCCAGGTAGAGTCGTCTAAACGCATCGGGCCACAATTTGTATACTGCCTCTTACCACAGCTCTTTTCGTGCTTCCCTCTTTCAGCCTATAGATGTAATTTTAAAATGAATATTTTTTTAAGACAGGCTAAATCAATGACACCGATGATTGAGGGGCGCGTCGGTCATTAGTAGAAGGCAGTCAATTGAAAAGGAAGAACATAACGTAGAGAAAGAAGATCGATCCGTGCACTTTTCGTAGTGACTCAATCGTAAAGGACGCGTTGTCAGCGAATGAAACTAGGCTGCTGTAATGAAGACAGCGTCGGACCCCTTCATACCGAAGGCCGAAATGATGATATTGATGACGGTTATCATAAAGATGAAGATGGTGACCATATTATTGAGCACATTTGCCCGAAAGTGATTCTTCTCCTTGTTTAAGTTGACAGTTCCCACCAATACGATGAACGCGCCTACCAAAATCTGTAATGAAAGAGAGATAGCGCTGTAATTCGACGTAATGTTTTTCTAAAAAAATCATACACATATATAACAACGGTAAGCTATTCTTGTATGTTTTGAATGATGATATTTATGAGAATCATATACACCGAAGCTATTATTTATTATTAAGCAGCAAGTTAAAGGCTGATGCCAGTCTTGCGGTAGTTGTGACAGGAAGCTTCGGTGCCTCGACAGCCGAAGAATGCTTTTACTTTAGATACCAATTGTGATATAGTCAACACAAAATTTGGTTTCACAAAAAGGTTTCAAAAAAACTTAACGAATTTTTTTCATAACTGAGGAAACAATATAAGTAATTGAAAATAATACAAATTTACACATAACTTTGGAAAATGTATAGGCAATTATCGACGATAAATTACAGAATCTAACGAAATTATATAGGACTGAACACCTCCCCCGCCTCAGATTTAAGCACCCCGTTTGATGAAAGCTGAGTACAAAGCTCTGCCCGGCTTATACGTTGTTTTTTCAGTGCCTCTGTTTATTTATGGGGTGGTATTTTTGGGCAGAACCTCTGGCCCCACATATTTGTCAGCTTAACCTTATGTAAAATTATGAATTGGCTAAAGCGAACTTTGTCGTTTACTAACGGGCGGTGTCATCCGTTTGCGTCGGTCTGGACCATGGCGTAATGCCTAGAGCACCAACAAATCCAAATTTTTGCTTATCTTGCAGGCGTAAATTATTTACTTGCGCTGGTTAACTTGGTAGAAACACATCAATGTCAGGAAGTGTAAATGGTTCCCTTTAAGTTATGGAGCACAACGAGATCGAACTCTACGACTCGAAACGCCATTCATGTGTTTCGTGGGTTTAAGTAAAATTAATTTTTCTGCCCTCTGCTAGTCGGAAAATACGTCGTCTTGAACGCACTTATTTACGTAGATAAAATCAGTAGCCTATGGAGCGTACTATAGAGAGGGTATGCATAGTGACTTGACGGAACGATATACTTTGTAAGGTAGTTTCTCTCGCAGCTGGGGCATGTTGGTATTGTTTACATGAGCATTATGCATTCTGGCGGAATAACGTTCCGCTACGTAGCACTCATACATGCGATTGTCGAACTCTCTATTTAAGCGTTTTCCGTCGGCTGCAACGTTTTTGCAGCGCCGGTCTCCTTTTTGAGTGCGGGTTCGATGCCAAATGCCGAAATGAAAACGTTGCAGATCGTTGCGGCGAAAATCATCCAGACAAGCACATTATTGAGGAAATCTGCCCACCACTGCTGATGCTCCTTGTTGATGTTGAAACGATATTTCACTACGAGAACGAAGCCGATCAAGATCTAAATGTGGTATCGCCGTGGCCGCGGTGGCAGGATCGTGTCGCAAGGAGAGTGACACCAGACAGACAACGAATATTGAGGTGGCGTGTGGAAGACATCCGTTGAGAATACAGGACACGGACATAGAAAATCCAATTAGAAAAGCCAATTAACAAAGAAAAGCGATATATAGCACAAGCGTTATCCTAGATAAGGGTTAGGGTCTTCCCGAAATTGTACAAGGCCTATGACTAACTGAAAAGATATCTGTACTTGTGAAAACAACCGGAAACGCTACTGTTTGCACTTTGTGCGATGTCACTCTCCCTAGCGAGGCGTTGCCCATGTAGTACTTGGCCGCTACCTAATCAGGACCAGTCAATCAAACTGCTCTTTAAATAGTTGTGAGTGGTCAGGATTTACCAAAGGCAGCTATTGAAGCGAAGTTTTATACTGACGTCTCTGGCTAAATGAGATGGGTGACTCTTTATTTACATACTGTCAATATATGTACATTGCTTTCATGCACCTAACTAAGGTCCCTCAAGTGCGTTGCAGAAATGACATCATCTTGGAGGTACTAGCAATTAAGATAACTTCGTAGTTATGGCGATTAATAAATATACGATAACAAGACTCGTTTATTCAAGGGATTTACAAAGTGATTACAATATGATAGACGAAGGTAAGTTTTTTGTGGACCAATCTGTACATCTCTCCACCCGCCATAAAAATAAACAGTCAACGTTTTCGAGAGTAACAACTTCGGAAGCATTCACTAGTGAACGCATTACTACCCATATTGACCCTTTTAATCTGTAAGAAGCTGTTAGGAGGACCATCGTCATGTTGTTTGTAGGAAATTTGCAAGCCATTTTTATTATGGAGAGACGCAGCGCTGTGCACTTCGGCACACTCATAGAGAAAACACCACATTTGATGGTACGTGTCTTACAAAAACGGGTCCTGAACTCTTTGCGAAGTACTTTCGACATCTTTATGATGAGACGAAGACTACAAGTTGTGAGCAATACAACCATTTATAGACAACTAGGACGTTAGAAATGTTTGGGCTTCGTAAGGTAATTGTTTTTAGTATATAATAATATTACATTGTCGCGATGAAAATTCAACAATAAAAGTTTTGAACTTGAGATCGAAAGAGTCCAACACCTAAGAGTCTGTATGTTACACCTTATGATTGTCTGAATCTCTAACCGAAATGGGCGTTTCTAAAACTTGATCTTAGAAAAGTTCTACCTGAAGAATAATGGAGGTGGAGATAAGCGAAACCATAATCGTGTAGAACTCGTGCGTGTGCCCCACCTGAAAATGGCCATCACCAGAAACAAGAGCAACAAGGAAGGAGCGTTGATTGTCAGACTCACACAATCGGTTGTAGAACAACTCAACAGGCGAACGATAAATAAAAGAACAAATATCAACCGGAAGCCAAGTTAAAAATGGGTTGATGAGATTAATTTTTTTTTGCTTTTTATTTTTTGATAACTGGATCTATTTGTGCTGTACTCAAAGAGGTCGAACCTGCAGAAGGTATTTGAGTTGTGACGCGTTGGCGGTGAGCAGGGCGACATCAAGCATGCCCTGTGCAATCGATTTTTTCGTCGCGTATACGTTGGCGTCCAGGAAACCATGAATACTCCTGTTGTTGTTGCCATTCTAAAATCGATCATCAAAATGGTAATAGCTTGTTAAAAAGTATTTCAGCAGAGGGCTAGTATAGGCTTAGTTAAAAGATGCCAGCATACCCAAAGGACGGCTCTGACACATGGGGGTAAGATAAATTACTACATATAGCAGTAAAGGTCTACTGAATATATTCATAACTTAGAACTACTAAAAATGTTCCTATTGAGTGATTCGGAAGAGCAAGTAACGAAGTTGGCCCCCAAAAGAATTCTGTAAGTTGTAACATTTCAAAGTGAATACGTAAACACTATGTAAAAGAGCACATGCTTGATTTAATAGAACTTCACGATTAAGTTCGTCACTATATGAACAGTTATTTTTATTAGCTCATGTAATACGTTTTCATAATTTATGCTATCATTAGCACTCTTTGGCGTGTCGGAACGACCGATGTCCGTCTGCAAGCGATATCTTATATTACGGTTACTATTTTGAGAAGGTGTTTAACCAAGTTCTGAAACTAGCTCTTGGCGCAACGAATGATCACTTCACAACAGTTAACATATGGGTTCTTGTTTTCAGCTTGGAGCCGCGTTCTGGGTTAGGAAGCGAAGCTACACGAGAAAAATTAAGAGAGCGCCGTTCACTCAATACTCGAAAATTATCATTGCTAAAAAAAACTAGGTTGCTTTAAGAGACCAGCTTGCCTGCTATTTCAACACAGAGAATGCGAGAACGAAGATTTTAACTGATTATGAGAACAAACCGTGACGTTTTTAGTTACGTGATGAAGTATGTCGTTCCGCATCTTCACTTCAACTATGCCATTGATCATTGTGATCTCACTACGTTAACAAGGCGATATGACGTTTACGTCTGTTCCGTATAAAATAACGAAATCGTTAAGTAAAACGACTATTTTGATCATATCGTTTCACCGTAAATCAGTTGCTTCAAGGATAATTCACTAGAGAAAAGCATACGAGAATCTTGCGCATACAAACCAAAAAAACTTTTGTCATCCTATGATAGTGTGTATGCATTATAATAGAAGTATATTACAGTTGGTGCCTGGAGACATCAGCGCAAAGAAGAAAGGCACACCCAACGCAACGATACCAGTTGTCTGCATGGTCGGACAGAACTGTCCTTCAGACCTTCAAACGATCATCGACAGTGAACTAACGGCCACGACAAGTAGAGACGAGAACACGAGCAGTTATCGGCGCCAGCCGGCAGAATTTAATTGCTCAGGCAGGAAACGTTTGCTAGCTGACGAACAGATAACGAGATGGTCAGATTAACGATAGGCAACGAACATCTTACTACCACTTTTGCTGCTGTATAAAAAAAATCTCCAAACGAATCGTTAGCTATCGTAGCTACGACAAAGTTGATCCCTTCAAATGCAAGCACAGTCGATCCTCCCTGCTTCCTTTTTCTAGGACCAGCACCGACGACGACGACAACAAAGCGTATCCCGTTAAAAAACAACCGTGTATTCATTTTCCAAATGTTTTGAACGAAAACACATGAATATAAGCCACTTATTTACAGTCTGATCAACTATACTGAAGATAGTTGAATTGCTCAACGCACTGCGATCCCGTCGTTGTACATCAGTAAATCTGAAGTAGTTGTGTATTCGAATATCAGTGACTACTTGGTCGTCACATTAGACTGGGATTCTATTCCAATATTGTGACAGTTCCTCAGATACGGGCTTCGAACGAAAAGCATCACTATGAAAATGAATCAATATGCAAAACATTTGGAAACGGAAACGAGGTTTACTTGAACTGCGATCAAAACAGGGGAACTTTGCAGGTTGTATATAGCGAGCATTGCGTTTACAGGTGCGTTACAAAAACTAATATTCTAGAAAAGTTCACTCTCGTTTTTAACCTAAGGCCTTGCAAGGCCCTATTTGGCAAATCCTAAAATGAGATCTATAGTATCGTATACATTAAAGTATTTTTGTAAAAGATATCTGAAGTAACACTTTGTGCAATAGGTCAGGCCTACCCGAAATAGACCATTATTTTGCCAGATGGTTCAAGCCCAGGATCACAGTAGGGCGTTCCCTACTTATGTTTTACTTATATTTTTATTTCTCATGTTTGTTCCAATGTACTCAGTTTATAAGGAAAAAAAGGTATCCTTTAGGTAGTTGTCGGCAGTAAATATATTACTTTCGAGAGGAATGGTTATTGCAAACCTGGAATACAGGGCTGAAATTTAGGATTTTTTTTTCAAAACTGACCAGTTTAACTACCTTCCTCCCTAAATCACTTAGCTGGAGTTTATTGGCGTACATTCTCCTACAAGTAAAGGACCTGTGTCAGACAAACCCTAGCTTTAACATCTGCTTTACACATAAAATTAGTATTCTACCTTAAATCTTAACTTTTATCAAACCCAACTGACAGGTCGCTCTGGACGTCGCTCCGCTGCTTTGCAGTCTTACTCCAACACTTGTTACCATTCATTAACCTCGTTCACTAAAACAAGTAGATTGATTTGGTTGTATTTATATTCTTTGTTATCATTAATATCATACAGTCTACTGAATGCAAGCCCCAGCCAGTCTATACTAAATGATCGCTGACTGCCTTCTGCTCAGATAGCCTGATCTCCGGCCCCGTTGATGTCCATCTAGCTGTAGAAGCCAGCGTTAGTCATGAGACGCGTCGTTAGCAGCCAAAGGCCCTGTCAAACATGTCAGATCCCATTCCGCGTCCATCTGTCTAATACTAGTAACAGATACCCTATATTAATCTACTGTTGGTACGTTTTATTCCAATTGGTACACCGTTAATTATATGCTGTCTCTAGGATTCTTTAATTATTTAAAATGACGCGGGTAAGTCTAGCGCAAAACTGATTAGTCGTACCTTTCATTGCTTGAAAATCATCAACAAGTCAGTACGCACCATTCAATATAGTACGACCTATTCTGCACGTTTACGCAAAAATGTATTATGTGCCGGTGAAGTCAAAATTGACATCAGTTCAACTTCTCATAAATGTTTACCCTTTACTCGTCTCGCTGCTTGAAGAATATGCGGTTAAACATTATTCTATGATTCCCGCTATTTTTAAATAGCCTATGATAATCAATAGGTTTCAAGGTTCGTACGACGGTAGTAGAGCCTACAAAGAAGAATTGCGACCCAAATACGTTCTGTAAGAAACGTCATCCAAATGCAGAAATAGTACATGGTCTATATTAAATATACTTCAGTTTAAACTCATGTATCAATTCAAACTGCGACCCCACCTTAACGACTACTATTATCATTACCATACATAGATTTTGCAACAAATAAAGTCTATTGAAATACTTACTTTAGCAGTCCAGGCTTCTCTACAAGCCATGCCAACCGTTATATAGACACAACAGAGTACGATCTCGATATAATTAAGCAGTCCTCGGCCCACCCTGCACGTACTCTGTTTCAATTCTACATGTAAGCTACTTTTTACATCGCTCATTCGACGCTAAGGGGCTTTTAAGCTCAGCGGCATTGTTCAACAAAATGTTGGTCAGTACGACGATGCACGAATAGCCAATATTTCCACCTACCATAAAACGTCAACTGATCGTGCGCGCGTTCGCCTAAGCCCCTCGGTTCCCCCTACAACGGCAAGATCTCTACCCATCTGGCCGTCCACCATCATCTAGATCCTTGCTATTGACCAGACATACACCTACGTAGACTCGGTCTGCGCAACTGAGACAGAGACTTCGACCCGAGTGCACGCTATCAGAACTTCGAAAAGCAACGACCTCTTTTATTCTGACATGATTGGAAGGATGATGACAGCGTTAGTGGGACATGCCCTGCAAAAATATCACGTTTTCGTAACGTACTTTACGTTTTTTGGAACCTGTGAAAACCGTCCACAACGACTGCGTGGGCCGACAGCAAAGGTATGGAAATAATCCGGGAGTCATGTTATCAGATAGGCTGCACGGGAGCCCATGTTCCAAGTTATAACATCAGTCTAAAGCTCTAAGTCCCACTACTACGCTTCATACAGTACGACCACTGGGAAAAAACAGGAGAAGTTTTCATGCACCGCGCACACTATGAAGTTACTGCAAAGTTGTTGTTCGGTAACATGCTGCCGTTCGCCCACAGCTTGTGTCCCTTGGCCTCACAGATATAGAGCTAGCCGTAGTCCATACGCAGCTCGGTGGAGGATCCATTAATCGATTCGTATCCCGAACGCTTCAAAAGTCCAACCAGACGAATATATACGCCTCATGTTTCACACATTTTTACATACTACCCATTTGCCCACACTCGAATTGCCACCCGAAGAAGCTATAGACGCCTATTAGGATGTCGCAAAAATTACGATTTTGGTTACTTTCGTCGTTCTATTTCATGAACAGCTTCGAACGAACCGAGTGGCTCCGTCTCGTCCGTTTAGCCGAGCAAATTGCTTATTATCATACCCATAAACGTAAATGCAAGTGTGTATGTCCAGTAGACGCAGCGTGATATAGTGCGGATATTTCGCACGTAGTTGTTATTTCCGCTAACTATCTCAAAGCCGTTGATGTGTGATTGATTTCCATTTTGTTCCTGCTCACTGACCTCTAGCCAATAGCTGTTTGTCTTAACTAGCCGGTAGACGAATCTAACAAGCCGATACCATGCCACGGCATATATGTTTGTGTGTATGCAGATTTACCTGCTGAGGTAATTCCGTGGTCCATTTTGGATCGTGTATAAGTAGTGAATAAGTTGATGAGCGTTCGACAATGGTGCCCTGTAGCAATTACATGGCATTGTTTATCGTGCATTTGTGTTTGTATACGATATTGGGATAAAGCGATTTGACCGCCAAAACTGGCTATGTTGTATGTATGGTCGACGGTGATATGATAACTAGATATAATGTTATAGGCCCGAAAACTTTGACAAATCTATGCATCCGTCGTACATGCTCATAGAGTCACCCGCCGCGCACCACACACTAAGTTGCTTATTGTAAGTTACTTAACTACATATTATTTA